GTGCCATCCTTTTAACTGCAGTATTTGTACATAGGTGTAACGTTTTTCCCTCTGTGTATGCTTTAGAGGGTGTTCAATGATGTCCAATTTTATGAAAAGAGGTAGGCTTTTCCAGAAGTTGTTGCACATCTTTGGATCTATAGGATACTGATTCATATCCACTTATAACTTGGGTTTGGGGCTGGAAACAGAGGCCCATGCAAAATTTGAGGACCAATTGAAGACCACCATATACAGGCAGGACCTCCGAAGATGAAGACTTGTCACTGAATCAGTGACGTCGCAATGTGTGAAGGAAGAAAGTGAGGATGCTTGACTGTCTTAGCCATAGCTTTGGGTACAGCAGACAAAAAGGGAAAAGTCCTCATTCATAATTTCTAAACACAGATCCTCCTTTAAGCAGGTTTGGGGTCAAAATTTAAACGTATGCTATGGACTAAAGGCTTCAAGTCAAGGCTTCAGCCTGTAGTGGTCCCTGGTGGGTAGTCCTCAAGTACCTAGGGGAAGAAAATACAAGTCCTCTCTGGAGCAAAGAGCCTTGAAACCAATCCACAGAGACTTTCTTCAAGTTCAGAAAAATGTGAATTTAGAATCTCAAAAGATCATAAAGTATTTGAGCAGGCAAGCCTACAGTATTGACATTAAACAGAAAGTCAGACAAATGATGGATGTCCACAAAGACTGTAGATATGGCAATAATCATGGGGAGAATATAAAATAACCATGATTATAGTGTTCCAGAGACAGTTTTTGAGATGAATGAGTCAAAGAGCAGATTCAGTAAAGCTGGAGAGCAAATTATTAAAATGGAACATTGATATGAAAAGATATTCAGAATTTATTACAGTGATAGAAATAAAAAAATATGAAAGTAAAGGTAAGAGATATGGAGAACAGAGTAAAAATAAATAAGTTTAATAGGAGTGTTAGGCTTATCTTTTCTTTCCTTGGTGGGGAATGGGAGAAAGGCAACACCCAGAGAAATGGGGGTTTACATTTGTCTAAAACTGACGAGAGACACCAATCTGTAGTGTCAATAAATTACACGTAAAAGAAATAAAAATAAATCTAAATGTACTTCAGAATATAAAGGACCCAGAAAAGATCTTGCAACCTATGGAAGGGAAGTCTCCTCATTTATTAGGATGCTACAACTTTTTAAACAGTTTCTGGTATGCAGATGTTCTCTTGAGAACATCTCTCCTCCAAATTTCTTTATTTTATTGGCAAATCACAGCAATAATGTCTGAAAGTGTGTATGTGGTATTGGGGGGTCACCTCTGCCTTCATTGCCAAATCGTCACCAGAAGTCACATCATTACATACTTTGTATTTTGCTTTTTTTCCCACTTATCATTAAATCATAAGCATTTTCCATATTGTTAAATGGCTGTTATAATTATCATTTTAATGGCCTTATTTTAACTCATCAAATTTATTCCATTATCATTTCCTTAGTCATTTCTTCCTTACTAGATATTTAGTGTTTTATTTCCTTCAAATTTTGATTATTGTATATAACTTTGACATAATATATATTTTATGCATGTAGCTTCACTTTTATTTTGAATCAGTCCCTCAGGAAAAGTTTTCAGAAATGATATTACCATGTCAAATGTCATTGCATTTTGTTACGTACCAGCTTTTATCATAAGAGTCAGCACTATGTATTATAAATTTGAATATATTTCTATCCATTTGCTGGGTGTAAGAGGCATTTTTATTTAAATAATAAAATATAAATAATAACACTTGCTTATTAATTGCTTTTCTCCTTTTGCTCACCAGTTATCAGTATCTATACTTTTTAAACATTGCTTGTGGAACCTATGTTTACCTTACCAATATGTAATTTTCTGTATTAATACAAATATTCTTCCCATATCTATGATATTTAAAAATTGTGTGATGATGAGGGTAGTAGCCAATTTTGGAGTCAAATGTACATGTGAATCAACTATCTGGCTCACCTAACACTCATTTCTAACACCATTCTATCTTTCCTGTCTCTTTTAAAGTGGTTGAACAAGCTAAAATATTCAGTTACCAGACCATTTTAAAGCTGGAGTTGTCTCTGTTACACAGCTCTGGCCAATAAAATATAAGCAAGAGTATGCTTGCCTACTTTCCCCATTTTCTCTTTCTCCTTCCTTGAATGATGTGCTGGCTGGAGCTACAGCAGCCACCTTGCAATCATGAGAAAACCAGGAGAATGACAGATAATGGTAGTCCTGATTTTCTCAGGACACTGAAATAATGCCATGAACTTTCTACCCCCCAACTTATTATGAAAAATAAAACTCCATTTGTGTTTAAGCCACTATAGTCAGTCTTTCTGTTACTGGCTATGGGGACAAAAATCCTAATTAACACATATAAGCTGGGAAGAGAGGAGAGTTGAGTCTCTATTTTAATTAAGACTCACTTTTAAACTAGCCCAAAGCCAGCTTTATTTATAAACTTGTTACTGTAAATGCATGATAACTGACCCAAGTAGATATCAGGCTTTCTAAATTTTGTCTGTTTTCTGGATCATATCCAGAGATGTGAACGCATCTACTGAAGCAAAAATGAAATAAAGTATTTACATCTTCATGACATTTGACAGTGGCAGAACATAATTAAAGGCATTCATATACTTGCCACCCAAAGAAGTGAAGTTCCAGTTGACAAATCCGATATGTATCCAAGAGATAATACGTTTATGCCTCTCCATATCCATCCACGTAGAGCCATTGCTCATCCATTTCTTATTATATTGAAGATAAGCTATGTAATAGGCTATTGGCTCCATGCCAGGGATGTAAAAAGGCAATTACTGCTCAGTCCTTGCCTTTGAGAATTTCATTTCCAGACTGGGTATGGAGGTGAGAGGAAACTATCCATATAAATAAATATCTTGGATACTGTGTGAGAGTAAAAAGAGTAGAGTAGTAAAGAGAGACTCATAAGGGAGAGCAAAATGGAAATAAGTGATTTGCTCAAGACCCCACAGCCAACAAGTAGTACAAGTCCCTTTAATCAAGGGCTTCTCGACAAGTCTTTTTTTAGGATACCAACCATTGCTTGAAATAAATGGACCAATATTTGGGACATGGAAATATTTTTGTATTATAAAAATGCTATCATTTTGGCTGTTTATGGAAGTTGACCTAGGCGATGGTGTTGCCCCTGACCTATCACTATGGCTCATGCAATGAGATTTGTCCAAGGACTTGTCCTTCTTTTGACCTGTTGTGTGCTCTGCCAGAAGCTGGGGTTACACATATGTATCAGGCATCCCACCTGCCTTGAGGGGCCGGATTTGGTTCATATTCTTGTTTACTCTTTCTTGCCACCAGCAAGGTGGCTGATTAAGGAGGAGGGCATGGCCTTTGTTTCATAACTCCCCGCACAGCTGGCCATTCTAGAAAGAAGAAAAGCAGCCAGGAAAACAGGGTGCAGGGGGAAGAACTGGACCTTAGAACTTTTGCTCATGGAAAGAGACTGAGATTTTTCTCTCTCTTTAAACAGTGATCTTTCCTATTGACTTAAGAAAAATAACTTGTTAAACATCTGTCTTTCCCTCCCACTGCTGCTGTTTATAGAGGAACAGACTTCCCTTAACTCTGAAGCAGTGTCTCCTTTCTTTAGGAAAACAGGTGTCCAAACATGCAGCAAATCAAATTTTCAAACAGCTCAAATAGACTTTCTACTTTCCTTTATCCTTTTACCTAGAAATTCTTTTGTGAGGCTGATGATTTCTGAGTTTGGAATTTTGTTTTCCTTTGTGATGCTTATGACCAATCTTTTTGAATTTTCACTATCACATCTCTGTTCTCTGTATCACTGCTATTTGGATATGAAAATCTATTTAAAAATAATATTTAACTATTGATACTTTTTCATTGAAATGAAATATATTTATAAACATAAAGAACTCAGGACTACATTGAATTCTGTCATATTGAACATATTTACTAGGAATAAGGAGAAATTGAGTTGATATTGATGAGCATTTTGTGGACCCTGGAATATCACTTCATGCCTAAGTATGTGGAAGGAAGAATTATGGTCTCATTTTTCAGATGAGAATATCAGGGCTAATAGAGTTCATTAAGTCCAAGATCACAGTCAGAAAATGGTGAAGCCAGGATTCAAACCCAATTCCTCTCTAATTTCAAAAACCATGCACTTTGTACTTCATCACGTAATGAAGTTCTTCCTAGTCTTTGTATAGAGTTTTGTTGAAGAGTCAACTCACGATTCACTTACTAGACTCTATCACTGTGAGCTCATGGTTAAACTATCAGCTCCATGGATCTAAATCTCCTTCTCTATTTAATGGATGAAATAGCAACACCTACCTCATAGGACTTTGGTAAGTATTCATTGAGTTAAATGCATGCGAATGGGCTCAGAACAGTATCTGGCACCTTGTAAATGCCCAATAAAATTGTTAATTATTATTATACGTTACTTCATGGATAATAGCAGAGTAAATATCATGGCTTTGCTCTCATGTACTGTCACAGTACAGATGAAATAAATGCCGGTCTTGTTGTTCTTAAGTTTTGGTATTTGCATATGAAGGATCTCCCTCATTCTTGTCCAGTGGTTGACAGATTTATGGAAGAGAAAGGGCATCTCTTAGTACAATCGTTTACCATCTTTTGTTTCAACAGTGGGACCCTTTTTAAAAATACAGATGGAAGCACTGCTGTTTTGTTGAAGTGGGGGAAATGACTCCTGGAACCCCATGTGCCTCTCTGCCCTTCAGGACCCCTGCCAACTCTTTACTGTCTTTCCTTCTGGGAAACCCTGAATGACACGTAATGTGGACTGAGAACCACCAATCCAAAAAGCACCCAACAAAACACATTAGACAGTGACTGATAAATACTATTAATTCTCAATTTCTATGATGGGCATGTGTCCAGGAGTCCTTCCTCTTGATTTCAAATTGTCGTCACTCTGTTCCCAGTAGGTAGTCTCTACTGATGGTTTTATTTACCTGGCAGGGTCTCCAGTTTGGCACCAGTGAGCTGGAGGAGATGGGAGCCATGTTCTGCTTGAGTCTTCTCATCTTGGAACTCAAGTCTGTAAGCTGCAGCCATCAGCTCCTGATCCAGGCAGCAACTCTGCTGAATGCTGATGAAGAGGGCCTGGACCACCACCTCCAGCGGTAAGACTCTCACAGGGGTGTGAGGGAAATTTGAACCTTGGTGTTCTGATTGGAACACATCTCCGAAATGAAAGCCAAGTGGTCCTACAGGTCGTTGACAAGGAGAAAATATGGAGGAGCCGCCAAATGAAGGTAGGGGCAGTGCTGGAGCCAAACTGGGGCATCCTCACTTCTTGCTGAATATAGGAAGGATGCTGCCTACTCATACACATAAATGTGTATACAAAGCTACATGTATTTATGAACATGCATTATCAATAAATTTTGCTTATGGTAGAGAAGATGCAGCTTAGCAACACACATCCGCATCCACCTATCCCTTTGCTTGCCAGTAATGTGTTTATATATATACAGGCATCATTTTGGAGCCACTCCTCAGCGAAAAAAGGCAATCTCATTGCCAACATCTAGGAACTTGGGGACAAGAAATATTTTACTCTCCCCATTCTTAAATAGCACTGTTCCTTCTCAGAACATGAGAAGAACCACCTGAAGATGATTAATACAGTGGCCTGGAGACCCTGACTCAAAGCCACTACAGGGAAATGATAGATCTCTGAGAAGTGTGAGGATCATTAGTGAGTCAAGAGAGGGAGAACCATTATCCAAATGAGCCCTTTCGATGCCCTTTACTGTAGACAGATATTTTAGACTTGGCCAAAATGGATTCAGGGGGCAAGAAAGGAAGATATAATGGCCATGTGAGAGAAGAGGGACCAACAAAAGTCAGAGGAGTCAAAGAAGACTAAGTCATTGGCCATACCTTGATCCAGGGAATGGATGGAGCACTGAACTGTTGGGGAAGGAAGTGCCTGCTGGTAAACCAGGAAGCATCTTATCATGCCCTTCAGGTCCAAAGGCAGAGAGAAAGCCATTAATACTGGGGCCATTTTATTTCTAGTCTTATTTTCATTAATTTTCCTCCTGACACTTTTAGACTGTGGTTCCAGTGTGACTTCCCACCAAATGGCCAGTCAAGCCTAGAAAGATCTAGCAGCATAAATTAATTTTGCTTTGGAAGGCACTGGTTTCTCTGAGACTTAATTACCTAAATGCAGTAATTAACTTGCTCATCACACTGTGCTATAGATCAGAGACCACGGAGACCTAAGTAAATCCGGACCTCTTTCCTCCCTAGAGACACTGCCTCTGATTTCTTTTGTTTTGACATCATCACTACCGCCGTCCACCCCTTCAGTACCGCTCAGCGCCCCCAGGCTTGGCACGTTTGGCATCACTGTGGCGTTTCAGTTTCTACCCTCTGACAGCAAGCGCTACCACCTGCCAGGATGTATATTTCAACTTGTCTTGTCATCTTTTCCTTTGCTAAGCTATGTTGGGTGCAGGCATGCCTGAATTTTCTTTCTTTCTTTCTTTCTTTCTTTCTTTCTTTCTTTCTTTCTTTCTTTCTTTCTTCCTTCCTTTCTTCCTTTCTTCCTTTCTTCCTTTCTTCTTCCCTTCCTTTCTTCTTCCTTTCCTTTGTTTCTTTCCTTTCCTTCCCCCATCCCTTTTCTCTGCTGCTCATTGAGGGAAGATTGAGCAGACCTGGCATTGCTTGCTTTCCCTGAATTGATTGCGCCCGTCTGTTTGATCCAGTGCAGTGAGGATTAGTTGCCTGTACACTGGAACAAGAAGAAATCTATCAAAGAAGTGCCTCTTCTAATTCCAGTCTAAAGAATTCGGTGGCGAGCTCCAAATACAATGGCTGCTAAGTGGGTTATCATAGAAGTGGTATTATCCGCTCCTCCATGCCATCCCACACTCCTATTAATTTTTCAGTTACCACCAGCCCATGCATCCTGAAGCTTGAAATCCTCCATGACCTCTGACCCTCCTTAGTCTGGTACAGCTTCTTAAGGGCAGGATCCCTACAGAGGCAGGCAGAGGGAGAAGCAGGCTCCTTGCTCAGCAAGGAGCCCGATGTGGGACTCGATCCCAGGACCCTGGGATCATGACCTGAGCCGAAGGCAGATGCTTAACCGACTGAGCCACCCAGGCGTCCCTATGTGTGTGTTTTAAATAGATTTGAATTCAATTTAAGAGGCACGGAGTTTGGGTGTGAACGGCAGGGTGGAATTTGCCTGTTTCACCCAAACATTTGTATCTTAATCTGCCTTTCTATTCATCGAGGCAGTTGACCAAAATGGATGTGGTTCCTGCCCAAAGGACCCAAAAACTGCCTGCCTGAGAGGAAAATCACCTTGAAACTATCTTGACTCAGAAAATATGCCAGCCAATAAGTGTATATTCATTAAAGGATGGCGGAAGGGAACTTAATACAATAAAATCTATTGGTTTGCAATCAGCAATAGGCTGTTTGAGTACCCTTTGATTAGTTTCTGATGCATGAGATACATAATCAGCAGAGCAGAGCAAATCCTAGGGATTTAGTTGGCAACAGGGTTCTTCCTATAACACAAAGGGTGTAACTAATGTTCGTCAACACTACTTTCCATATGCTTTCAAGAGGACAAGTCTGCCACCCTCCTCCCCACCTGACTTTTCCCTGGGCATGCTCTGTACAACAAGGTTGTAGACTTCAGGAGGATTCTTTTTTAGTTGCACAGAAGGAAATACTAGGGAAGGAAAAGAGCAGGTTTTTACCTAAAACTCTGTCTTTAAAGAAACGTGAGGACATGGTATTTCGAATCTCTTCGGCCCCATAGAAAGTGTTCACCCCTGGGGAGTGATGTGCTGGGAAGATAAAGTATGGCTGTGTGCCACGGACAACATGTTTTTTGACAATAGGTTTCATGCCTCATTTACCATAAAAACAATTAAAGTGTAGTCAACATCCACGGAGCAACTTAACCATTTTTCATGAGCAGAGAAAGAGTGGATGTTTGCCCAGTGACTGAAGCTTAAATGTAGTATAGTACGGACTCCCTTTGTTTTGGTTTGTCTTTTCCAGTTCTGTTCTTCCCAGTTGCTCATTTAAGAAATGTCTGCAGACTCGTGAAGGCGACTCTTCATCTTCCTCTCTTCTTCCTCTTTTTTCTTGGATCTTATCCCCGGAAATAATTGCGTATGCGCTGCAAGAATGCTAAGCTGCTTCTTCCCGAGGCATCGCTTATCTGTTGTGACATGTCTTTTGCAAAGTCATTTCAGTTTTGCTGCGTCAGCCCCTGCTCCTCTCCATTTGTAGCCCTCCCTTGCCTCTTGCTCTTCTCAACTGAGCTCCCCTATCTCTGTGTGTCCCTCCATTAATAACAGAGAGAGCTCAGAATTTCTGAGTTGTACCTGGTTGATAGCTCAGTATCTGGTTTAGCCTCCCAAACTGTAGTCTCCAGGGCATGAACCTGGGCCACCCTGAGCATCAGGACAAGTTCATCCAGTTCTCTCTTTAGTTTGATGAGGCAAGACTGAAAAAATAAAAATGTGTCCTAGACTTTAGAAAACATAATTAGATTTTAATAATTAAAAGATACTTGATTTTTATGTAAAAATAGTTTTGCCTTTCTGAATTGTGTGATATTTTGGATTATGTGAAATGGATACATTAAATTATATTAACTTATCTTTTGGAAAGCACACATGAAGATGCCATATCCCTGCCTTTAATCACCCTGCCTTTAATAGAGAATCACGGTCAACATTTTGGTGAAATTAGATTATTTTTTCACCTATGAATAAACAAATACATAATACCTTTCATGACAAGGTATGAAAGTTCCCTTTGCTGTAACTTTATAAACACGTGTTATCTTTTTAAAAATAGACTTTATTTCTAAGAGCAGTTTTAGCTTCACAGTAAAATTGGGAGGAAAGTACAGATGTCCGGTCTATACCCTGCCCCAGACATACACAGCCTCTCCTATTATCCACATCCCCCACTGGAGTGGTGCATTTGTGACAATTGATGTAGTGATGTTGACACATCATTATCATCCAAAGTCCATAGTTTACCTTAGGGTTCACTCTTGCCGTTGTGTATTCTGTGGGTTTGGACAAGTGTATAATGACATGTATCTACCATTATAGTTTCATACAGAGTAGTTTCAATGCCCGAGAAATCCTCTGTACTCTGCCTATTCATCCCTCCCTCCGCACTAACCCCTGGCAGCCACGGATCTTTTTCCTGTGTCCATAGTTTTACCTTTTCCAGAAAGTCATATAATTGGAACCATACAGTATGCAGCCTTTTCAGATTGCCTTCTTTCTTTTAGAAATACGCATTTATATTTCCTCCATGTCTTTTTGTGACTTGATAGCTCATTTCTTTTTAGCACTGAAGACTATTCCATTGTCTGGATGATTCACAGTTTATTTATCCATTCAGCCACTGAAGGACATCTTGGCTGCCTCTGAGTTTTAGCAATTAAGAATAAAGCTGCTATAAATATCCGTATACAGGTTTTGTGTGGACAGAAGTTTTCAGCTCCTTTGGGTAAGCACCGAAGAGTGTGATTGCCGGATCGTATGGCAATAGCATGTTTCATTTTGTAAGAAACCACCAAACTGTCTTCCAAAGTGGCTGCATTAGTTTGCATTCACAGAAGCAATGAATCAGAGTTCATACTGCTCCACATCCGCATCAACATTTGGTTTTGTCAGTGTTCTGGATTTTGGTCATTCTTATAGGTGTCTAATGGCATCTTGTTTTAATTTGCATTTTCCTGATGACATATCCTGTGGAACTTTTTTTCATATGCTTATTTACCAGATGCATGTCTGTCTTCTTTAGTGAGGTGTCTTTAAGGTCACTGGACCATTTTTTTAATCAGGTTGTTTTCTTATTGTTGAATTTTAAGAGCTCTTTGTATATTTTGGATAACAGTCCTTTCTCAGATGTGTCTTTTGCAGATAGTTTCTCCCAGTCTGTGGCTTGTCTTCTCCTTCTCTTCACAGTATCTTTCCCAGAGCAGAAATCTTTAATTTTAATGAAGTTGAGCTCATCAGTTACTCCTTTCATGGATCCTGCCTTTGGTGTTATATCTAAAGAGTTATCGCCAAACCCAAGGTCAACTAGATTTTCTCCTCCATGTCTTCTAGACACACCC